AACAATCTTTTTCATTGTTTAAGAAAAGCAAGCCATTAATTACAGGCATGCTATTTGTTAACATTTATTAAGCATCTGTCACGATATGACTCTCTTAGCACCTAGAAAAACGGCTTCGCTAGTTTTTTTTTAAATTTCCACCCATAGGCATCTAATGCTCCTCTGCCTACTCAATGAACGCGAATCACTGACTCATTTCTACCTAACTCGCATAAAAGTCCCGCAGCTCCTGCTCGCTTTCCCTGCTAAGCTTCCCAATTTGAGTCGAGCAATTCAGTGGTCGAGCATCATGGGAACTGAAGGCTTTCATTTCTCTTGCTATACCGTTTTCTCTCAGTCTAAGCAAGCTCAGGACTGCATTTCCCATGAGAACTTGCTATAAGAACGAGATCACCTGATGTTTCCCCAGAGCTGAACAAAATGGCGGCCCCCATGATGAGACGCTATCTTGCTTGGCTTCGAGCTGGCAAAGTTAGCTTTGCGAATGACACCGTACTTGGAGATTGGAAGAGACCGGTATCCACCAGCGTTCTCTACTGGAATTCAAAGGGGATTACAACGAAAGAGAAGCGGTATGACTGTGGATATTCTGGTTTGTCGCTCTTGGTTGATTAAAAAAAAAACAACTTTCCTCTCGTTTCACGTTTCCGCTAATGGTTTGCTAATACTGTACGGATTGAAACGCGAAAACAATCTCACAAGATTTCAAATGTCCTTTTCTATATACGATATTGAATAATTTTAGTATTAGTGTATTGGATGAAAATATAATAAGCTAAAGCACTAAAAGATAAGGAAAATAACGTATTTTTTCTTAAATTTAAAATAGAACTGAAGAATCCAAACTGGTATCCTTTACCTGCTGGCAGATCTTAATGTGATGCTGCTTTGCTGCATAAATTCGTGGACTGCTTCACAACTAGCACTTTTTCCTTGCAGCATGGAGAAGGAAAAACATTTACTATGGGTAAATGCATTGTTTGAGACTGTAACACACACCATCTTGTAACCAGATTTATATTAAAAAAAACAAATGATGGTGTTAATATTCATATATCAAGATTTTATTTCCCTGTAATTACATACAAAAATCTTATAGCAACAGTTTTTAAACTGCATGCAATTTTAAAACATGATCACAGAACAAACTTTTATATAGGATACCATTTGGGAAGCCCCATTTACCTTACAATGATGATACAAAGAGAAAAAAAATCTGTTCCATTGTTTTCTAAATTAGCTCTGATCTAGAATACATGTAATGGTGTGCTTTAAATAAATATCTCCTATATTATCTGGTCTTCTATTAAGTACATTTTGAACACACTGTATGGACAGATATAATGTAAAATTAGGAACTTACATACCTTCTGAAAAATTCTGAAAATGTCCACTTTTATTAATATGATTATATTGAGAGCCTCACTTCATTATGGTTTCAATTATTTCACTACAAAGAAATACAGAATTGTCATCTTATTAAGAAAAGAAAAAAACTTGTATCTATCTACTTAATTCTTTTATGGATCCCAGGTATTGATTTCAGTGCTATTATCATTACAATGGCATAATATTGACTTCACTAATTAAATTTATTTGTGTATCTCATTGTGTAAGTCCAAATCATTGCTTCGAGATTCTGTAAAGCATTTACTGCAAAATTGCTCCATTCTCTCAGTCATATGAAAACACAGGTGCATGAAGTGCAATTACTTTTCAGTGACTGTGTACATTTTGTTCCATTTTTTCAAATGACAATTTTTGACACCTCTATTTGAAAGTGACCTTTGACAAAATATGTATAGGACAATAGTGCAATGTATGTTGGCCATAATAATTGGTTGATATCTAACAAATCTTGGGGTTGTTGGGGTGTGGTTTTTTTTAGAAAACTTACAGTTTTAAATTTGTTATTTAATTTATTCAAGCTGTTCAGAAATTGAGTTTCTTTTAATGTTCATTAAACAATGTTTAATGTTCATTTTGTTTCAGTATTAATTGTGCTTGATTTTCTTTCTCCTTTCCCAATTGTTTTAAACTTTTAATTGCATTTATCTAACTAGTGATTACACATATTGGCTTTCTTTTAGTGATGCTTCCTGGGCAACAGTTGTAGGCTTGGAAATCCATGCACAGATCTCATCCAACTCAAAGCTTTTTTCTGGTTCCCAAGTTCAGTTTGCAGCACCACCTAATTCTCTGGTATCATTCTTGGATGCTTCTCTTCCTGGCACTCTACCGGTAGGTTTTTTTTAGTCCTGAGTAGAAATATAACAAGATTAACTGTCTTTTTCTAAGGAAAGGAGCAAACTTTAATAAGCTCAAAGTAATGTAGAGTATATAAAATACAAAATGCAGTTTTATTGAAACATGGTTACGCATACCTATCAGACCCCAAAGCAGAACATAGAGTCCATCAGATAAATGTAAGCTAATAGATATAATCTTGAAATGGTAAAGATCTCAAATCAGATTCTATCCGACAAGTCAAATTGAAACAGCACATTTGTACTTAATCTAAAGCAGTGATGGCGAACCTTTTAGAGACCGAGTGCCCAAACTGCAACCCAAAACCCACTTATGCATTGTCGAGTGCCGGGTGGGTGTGGCCCATTGGGTGGGCGTGGCCCATTGGGTGGGCGTGGCTGCAGTGGTAATAGGAGACTGGGTGGGACTAAAAAGTTCAATCAATCAATTCCAATTTTGCAAGATATATTTTTTTCCTGCGAGAAGTTGAAATTGACTGATTGAATCTTTTTTTTTTTTGGCACATGGCGGCGGAGGTCTAAAGCGAAAAGGTTTTATAAAACCCAGCTGAAGGCCTAGGACTGGGCTGACGGCGCGGGTGCCCACAGAAAGGGCTCTGAGTGCCGCCTCTGGCACCCGTGCCATAGGTTCGCCACCACTGATCTAAAGCTATACAATTACCAACTCCCTCTGGAATTCCATAGTGATAATTCCATGGTATCAGCTAAGCTGCACTGGAATTTTTGCTATGGGTTGAACTAAGAATATTCACAAAGTAAGAGTAGCTTGGCTACCACCCAATAGAAGGTTTACCTTCTATTTTCTTATTTCTTGTCTTATTTCTTGTGAATAAGAGGCCCCAAGAAGGACTTATAATGATGATTTGAGTATATACAATATTTATATTTATTCTTTTTTCTCATATTATGTTTATGTAATGAATTACAATGTTATATGATATATTACTCGTGTTCTTGTTGCTATCAGTATAGATTGGAGGGAGTAATAGGGTGGTGTAATACATAAGTTATTAAGCATTTGTATTATGTCCTTTGTGGGATCTGCTCTCTTGTTTCTATTGTTCCAAGGAGTCTGCCTACATAAGTAAATTATTGCTGTTTTTAAATTCTTTGTTATGGGTAAAGTATTGTTCATGATGCCAGTTGCATCATGAACACTAATTTCATGTTGTGTTTTATTTTAATCTGCAGGCCCATAGCCTGTAAAAGAAATCAGTTAATTGGATTAATGAAGGCAGGTAATATCACAGTAGGCACGTGTGCTTTAGGGTTTTGCTAATACTGAAGAGGTTGAAAAGTCAAGACCATGATAGTACTATTTTGGTTGATTACTGAACTTCATTGAGGGTTTCCATCTAGTTTTTTTGTCCTGTAACTGTTAAACTTCAGTAAGCATTTAGAAGTAGGTTTTGATCCTTTATGGACTTTTCTACAGTATAATACATCTTTATTTATTACTGTTGTAAATGTTTAGCAATAGCACTTAGACTTTTATCTTTATCTTAGACTCCACCATGCTTTACAGCACTAAGCAGTTTACAGTGTCAGCATATTGCCCCAACAAGCTGAGTATTCATTTTATCGATCTTGGAAAGTCAGTACTGTAGGCTGAGTCGACCTTAAGCCAGTCAGGATCAAATTCCAGGCTATGGGCAGAGTCACCCTGCAATACTGTATTCTAACCACTGCATCGTCTTGGTCATGCAAAATAAAGCAGCAGTGCTTTTTTCCAGCCACATGTATTAATGTTATTCATATAATAATAATCTATAAAAGTGATGACGAACCTTTTAGAGACTGAGTGCCCAAACTGCAACCCAAAACCCACTTATTTATCGCCGGGTGCCAGGTGGGCGTGGCCTACTGGATGGGCGTGGCTGTGGTGGTCATGGCAGATTGGGTGGGTGTGGCCAAGGTGGGCATGGTCACTTCAATGTTGCTCATGGGAGAGACGCCTGTGGGGGGGTGGGCAAGTTTGGGGAAAATCCAGGGGGTCTCTCGTAGGTGGGGTGGTAGGCAGGAGGCTCGTCCTGCAAGGTGAGGCATGGCAGGGCGGGGGTGCCATTGCCATGGGGCAAGGCAAGGGGCGGCGGCTGCCTGACATCATCGGCCCCCGCACACAGAGGCCAGCGAGCGCATGGGGGCCGACGGTGTCCGCCAGCAGCCACAGCCTGCCGTCCCCTCGACTGATGCACTCTGGGGCTCCGTAGCCCACCGCCAGCAGTTCAAAGAAGCCGCCTCTGAGCTGGATGGCCGGCTGACAACTGAGGAGGTGATGCAGTGGGTCGTACCCAGGAAAAGGAGAGCATGCAAGGCCAGGAGGGACGGGATGGGGGAGAGGGAAACCAGCCATGCCGGGATGCATCCAGCCACGTGGGACCTCGGCTAGTTAGCAGGTGGCTGGTTGAAGAGGGACAGTTGCCATCTCCAGGGCATGGTGCACGTGCCCACAGAGAGGGCTCTGAGTGCCGCCTCTGGCACGCGTGCCATAGGCTCGCCACCACTAATCTATAATCTGAAAAGTAATAATTGTTGACTTTTATTTTTGTTTGGTGTTTTTTCCATAATATTTGTCTTTTAGAGTAGTCACTTTTAAACCTTACATACATAAGTAGGACATATAAGTCATTTAGAATTGGTTATAACTGGAGCAGACTATAACATTTAAAGTTAATAAATAAACCAGCACTCTATTCATAAAACCCAGATAGGCACAGACAAAGACTAAAATGCCAATTTATCTCTGTTGGATCACTGTGACTGAAGTCCTCATTCTTCATCAAACACAATCCATAAAGTCCATTTTTCTGCAGATTGGCTGACAGCTAGGGTGAGTTCACTGTTTCTTTCAGAGTTGCTTTTATTATTTTTAAAATAAACTTGGCCAATATCTTGGTAATTCGAGAAACAGTAACTGCTACTCCCACATACACTTTTGATGATACAGCAAAAAAATAAGGACACTGTTCTGTTTTCTTGTGTTTCTTATAGCCAGAATATTTAAGCCTTCAACTTATGCAATCTTTTGGTTATTTTGAATTTTATTTATTTTTTTGGAAAAACTACTTCAGAATGTTTTATAAAAGTCCTTTGTGGATAAGGTGTTTGTTTCATTTTGACATTATAACAAAATATATTCACATTTTGTGTACCACGCTGATAATTTCAGCTATGGGTTTAGCTTATATGTACCCTGACAGGCTGAGAGATGACGCAGTATAGTGTTTGCTATATCTCTGACAAGTTCCCTCAACAAAATGAGAAGAGCAGATTCCTATCAACACATACTGGCTGTGTGCAGATAACCTGACTTCTATACATTTTAAGAAGACTTGTTTTTTACAATTGCTCAGTAGTAGATTATTTTGATTCAAACTGGCTTTTAAAATGATAAATCCTCCTGACTTGCTAGTTAACCTATGAGAGAAAAAATGAATATGGTGATTTGCATCTCCAGCAATAGCTTTTTGTCTATACAAGGCGAGTTTCTTTTTATTTATTGTTTTTATTGCTTTTAAAATAATGACACAAAACAGGAAAAAAACCCACACAGATAAAAATACATATATTGTCAAAGAAAAAACCCACACAGATAAAAATACATATATTGTCAAAGAAAAAACCCAGTGTTTTTTATTTTAAAAAAGTGAAAAAATGAAAGAAAAAGAAAAAAGGTTTATCATTTTAGCTGTGAATAATTGCAATAGTTATCTACCTAATGAAATTATTACTCAAGTATATGTATATTTCTAATACATTTATATAATGATCATATTTTTTAACCTAGAGTAGTTTGCATGAGTCTCATATTTCATTATATTTACCTATACATAGTCTATATCTTTAGGAAATGTGCTCATAAGTAGTAAGTGCAATTAGATCTTCTATCTACTGGCTGGAGAGATCAGGGGTTTCTTTCTCACCACTACTTAGTACATATGTCCAAACTGCTTTGTATTATATACTATATGAGGTAAGGCTAAAAAATATTTTTTTGAATGCAGTGGAGTACTTTACCAGATAACTTTAACAGTGAAATATTTGTATTAGTCAAGGTATAACTTGGCCCAGGAACCCAATGGGGATTCCCAGCATTCCCTGCTTTACTTCACCCATGTTTTAATCTCATATTATTGTATTATCATTGTTTATTTTATTGTTTCATTATTTTGCTACTGTTATGTTTACCCTTCTTTTCATTTCTCTGTTTTTACTGTTGTAAGACACTTAGAGTAGCCCCACGACGAGTTGGGCAGCAAATAAATTTAACAAATAAACAGACAAATAAGTTAATAGCTCTTTCTCTACCTAGCTGTTTCCTCATTACCATTTTAGTTGTTTAGAGTAGTGGTTCTCAACCTGTGTCCGTGGACCCCTAAGGGGCCATGATCTCATCACAGGGGAGGTCCGTGAAGGCTTGAAAAAATGTTATTTAAATCTTAAGACTGGAGGGGTCTGTGGCCATGGTCTGTGGCCACAAAAGATATTTAAAGAGGGTCCATGGTGAAGAAAAGGTTGAGAACCACTGATTTAGAGCATATTGGAATTGTTACTTAGCAAAAATTTAAACCCATGTATTCATGTTAATTTAGGCCAGTGCTGTATTAGAAGCTGAAACTCAGCTCTGTGTCATCTTCCAATGAATGTAGTTAAGAGCACTAAAACAAAAGCACCAAACTTAAACATACAGTATGCAGTATTAAAAACATGTGTTTTGCTGGTTGAATTTAAGATACTTTAAAACTATACAATTGTCCTCCCACCGTGAAATGGAAAAATATTCCCTTGAACAAGTTTTCCCTTATTACTTTTTGTACTTCCCATTTGTTGTTTTAAAGCAATCAAAAAGAAAATGCACGCTGTTTAAAATGATATGAATCAAGTTATGTGTTGTGTCTCTCTAGGTTCTCAACAGACGATGTGTAGAAGCAGCCGTGTCAACAGGCCTTGCACTGAACTGCACCATAAACAAGAAGTCCTTGTTTGACAGAAAACACTATTTCTATGCAGATCTGCCTGTGAGTATATATCAGGCTTTGTCCTTGACAAATCGGAAGAGGAACATGCCTGAAGAACAGATGGGGGACAGGCCAACAAAAGAGAAGCTTTGTTTTTTTTCAGGCACTGTTTACCCATCCAAGCTGGATGCAGCCCTGAATTCAGATGAATGGGCAGCTGCAGCCAGGAGCTTGCTGATTGATGATGATTGTTCTGATGGCTGTGCCTCATGTTTTCAGGGCTTTGGGAGTAATTGAACTGGGGAAGGTTCTGCTAGGACAAGCCTTCCCTTATTCTCATTAATGGCCTGTTAGGATTAAGACAAACAGCACAAATCTTTTCAAATGAATATATTACAGACACATATTGGTGCTCCAGTGACATCACAAGCACCTATTATCATTACTTCTGAGAATTTCAGACACAGTGTTTTGTTTATAATTTGTTCAGATATGTAAAGCAAATAAAGGCAAACTAAAACAGTAATATCTGTGACCCTAGATACTACACTTAAGTCAGACTTGTTTGAGATTAGGCTTGACTTGTTACAGTTAACAAATTGAAGCTGACCAAAGCCATAAGAAAGACAGAATTCATCATTTTAATATTTACATAAGGATCTTGCAGGTGTGCTTGTTGGATAACAAGTCCCATTGTCCTCCCCATGATAGATGAGAAAGGCTGCCCTAGGCTCACACTGTATCCTTGTAAAAACACTGTGCAATGGAGTGATGATACGTGATGTGTGATAAGTTGGCAAAGATCACTGAGGTTTAAATGGACTCCTTGCGTCGGACTATGTATTCTAGGACGGTCCTGCTGGCCCTGCGCGACTCACCCCTCGCGCAGGCCTGGCCCAGCAACATTCCTAGGGCCTACCTCGAGGACGGGACGTGGAACCCCGAGAGGTGGCATGCAGGGGCCAGGGACAAAAAATTGTTGAAATTATGTAAATTGAGAAGGTTTTTACAGGGGT